GCGCCTGCCCCTCTCTATCCAGCCGGCTCGCGAGCAGCGGCTCTTTCTCCACCCTTAGAGCAGGATCGACCTCCCCTGTTATTCGCAGCCTGGGTTTTGCTGGGGCTGTCAATCGCAGGCTTCGCTGAAAGATTTCCTGCCTCTAGTCCATGCCCCTCGCTGGTTTCAGCCTCCTATTCCACTGCTCAACGCTTCTTGTGCCAAAATGACCCGAGCTTTTCCTCCCCTCCCCCACCCAACCCGGCGATTCTTCCGCCAGGTGAGCCTGGGAGAGGCCGGGCAGTTTTGGCTCGTGCCGGGGTCTGACTCCGACTGACCGAGAGCTTTGTTTTTGTCTTGCTCTTTAGGTGAGTTTGATGCTAAATGGGTGGCCAGTGATTTCTGCCTTTGCAGGGGACCAGGATGTGACCCGAGAAGCTGCCAGCAATGGAGTCCTGATTCAAATGGAGAAAGGCGACAGAGCTTATCTAAAACTGGAGAGGGGAAACTTGATGGGCGGCTGGAAGTACTCGACATTCTCTGGATTTCTAGTGTTCCCCCTTTAAACGACGGATCCCCCGAAGCGAGAGCGCGGGCAGCGAGCCAGAGCATTTCTTACACGTCCCCCAATTGTAGCTGGGTGTAAAGAGCCTTGGACAGCAAACTTTGTACGGTCAAATAGGAAAGAGGCTAAATCCTGCTTAGGTTTGTGTCCATCTGCTTTGAAGAATTTTTTGTTGTCGTGGTTGCAGCCGACAGACAGGAGACGCTGCAATCGCTCCCACCGCCGTGTCCGCCTCTTTCTCCCCCACATTAGTTCAGCTGAACGTGGCCCTCGTGCCCCCGCCACCTCCCCCCGGTTCTCCAGGCCGCTTCTACCTTCAGTATTTGCATTGTCCCTCACCACGTTTTGTGGGTTTGTTTTTAAAACATGTCATTCTCGACTCTTCCTCTGAGTTTAAAAAAAAAAGCAAAACAAAAAAACAAAAAACAACGAAGTATTTTTTTGAATCCGTGGGTGCCACGACAAGAGAGAAAATGCAAATCTTGCTGTAACCTGGCTGACAAACGTAAACCGAAGAACTATTCCCAGCCAAGGCTGACTAGAGTACTTAAATATTTCTATGTAATTCTGAGTGATTGTGAAATTTAAGGCTGCTAAATGTTTTGATGCTTGTTTTGCTCTTGTACAATGTGGCCCGACTAAACGCCAGGAAGTATATTGAACTTTTACTATTACTCTGTAATATATGTGTGAATATCGGAAATTAATTTTTGCTTTAATTGAATAAAGTTTAAATGGGACTTTTATTTTTTTTAAACAGAAATAGGGTTTTTCTCAATGCAGTTATTGGCCCTTTACCAGGCGTAGGACCAGGTGGGGAAGCTGCAGGAGCAACCAGGTGCGCGGGGCTGCTGGCCATCGGGACCCTAGGTGCGGGACAATGGAAGCGGGAAAGCTAGAGCAGCGTGTGACATGGCCCCGGTGCAAGTGAGTCCCGCCTTGTTGGCGCCTCTCGAGCTCCGTTACGCGTTCTCTAAACAGAAGCGAGTCGCCCCGGGCTGGCGCGGGGGAGCCGGGTCCCGGCGAGGAACCGGCGGAGATGAACGCAGCTCCCGCTGGCAGCCCTCGCCCCCAGGCTTACACTATCGCCTAGAAAACAAAGCGCATCTATGCAGCCCTCTAGCCACTGCCGGCGTAGGCTGCCCTGCTAGGAGCAGTCGGTTTCGCTAGGGTTAGGGTGTTTACAGCCTTTATAAGATGGAAATGCGGGAATGGGGCAGCGCTCCAGGACATTGCGGCTGGTGTTGCAGGAAGGATGGCGGGTGTGACCAAGCCCAGAGTTCACTACAGCGGTGGCAGAAACCCCGACTGGCGGGTCCCCAGGGCAGCTGGGACAGCGGCCCGGGCGGAGCGGGGCTGGCCCCGGGCACCGGAGCGTCCTTCTCCGGCCCGCTCTGAGCTCGCCCGGCTGCCACGCGAGTAACATCTTGTGGCTCTTTTAAACCCCAGGTTCCAGGAAGGGATTTAATTAGCTCCTAGGGGGAAAATTACTAGTAGCATAATAAGCAAAGCTGCTTCATTTATTCACAGTTTTTGTCTTGGTAATAGTCTGCTAGAAGGGGTGGGGGAGCTCTGCGGAACCTTCCCCGAGTGCAGGTAGCACCTGCTCGTTTTCAGGTCGCTTGTTTTTCTAGAGGCCTTGAACCCAGCCCAGAGATGTGTCTTCTCCTTGTAAGGAGGGCAAGCGAGTTCACAGCGGAGAAAGCCTCCCGCTGAGCACGGAGGCGGGTGGGGGTGGGGGGCTGGCTATAGGAGATGGGTCATGAATTTGCTTTCTGAATGTCGATAGTATGATGATATCTGTGGTCTCTTCTTTTCAAATAAAACACACCGATGACTTGACAGCACCTGGTCTTCTTTTCTCTGGAGCTGCTTGTGCCCCCGCCCTGCGAGCTCGCGCTGCGCACACGGTCCCGCGGAGCAGCGCGGAGACGCGGCCTGACGGACTGGCCCGTAACAGCGCCCGGGGCCGGGGCCGGGGCCGGGCCTGGTTGGAAGAGGGGCCAGCCTCGGCTCCGTTTTCCGGGTGCTGAATCGCTAGGCTGCGGGCCTCCCCGGGCGGCCTGGGGGCGGGC